CAGAGCCTGACGCGGGGCTCGAACTCACGGACCGTGAGATCGTGACCTGGCTGAAGTTGGACGCTTAACCGACTGTGCCACCCAGGCGCCCCTCTCTACCTTAATTAAAATAACTTAGGTCAAATCTGCTATGGACCCTCCCTCTCAAACTTCTTAAAACTGGCCCATTGTAATACTCTTAGATTAGTCTGAGATGTTCTTCCCTTAACAAATATGGACTATATATCTTGTATGTCAGGAACTACGCTAGGTACTAGGAGCTGAGGACCAAGATACAAGAAAACAAACATCCCTGTCCTCTGAAAGTTCACACAGCTTTCACTCTCATTATTTGTTTCCATATCTGGAAGTGAGCCAATGACCACTTAAATATTCATTGAGAATTGCAAGGTTCAATGCATTAGCCGATAGCCACATATAAACAAAGATTGTAAAATATCTCAGTAATGTTTTTCTATTGATTAAATGTTGAAATGTTATCTTAGATATAGTGGGTTAAATCAAATATCTTAATAAAATTAATTTTACCTGATTTAAATGTGGCTACCAGAAAATTTAAAATGATATATGTGCCTTGCACTATTTTTCAATTGAAAAGCAATGATCTAGGCTGTAGCTATGATGTTGGGGAAAGTAAGAGAATAAGAAAGCCTAAAAGGAGTTAACCTAGGATAATTAAAGGTACAGACACTCTGAAATCAACATAGCAATAACTGAATAAAGGGAACAGAGAAATTCTGGCTTAACAAGGAGGTAGATATCCAAAAAATACAGATGAGAGAGTTAAAAATAACCCCGTTTATCAGACTATTATTAATAATCTTTAAAAATCATAAAACCAGAAATCATTTTGTTCAATCCTTTCATTTTACATATAAGAAAACAGAGTCCCAAAGAAGTTAAATCGCCATCATCAAATTTAAACATGGACAAGAAGCTAGTGGCTAAACTGTGGATAAAGATCTACGACTTCTGAGGGAAAAAAAATCTTCAACCTGCAGTTATTTGTTTTGTGCTTTTTACTTAGATTCCTACCATGTAACATCTGTAAATTGGTGGAGTAAGAAGGGAGAACTTTTACATATTCTAATTCTGTGTCCCTGGGTAAGTTAACATCTCTGCGTTTCAGCTTCTATAACTGAAGATAAAGGCCTGGACTCAATGATCTTGGACATGGATTAAAGGTTCCAGCTGACGTAAAACATCCTATAATTTCTACTCAACATTCAGATAGTATAAAGAGTGGGTTGACAAAAGAAACTCAAACATACTGAGTCAGATCTCAAACTCTGCAGTAAAACAGAACCAAAGGAATAAAATGAGGCTTTTTGCATAGGTAGATAACACATTATGTAACTGCAGTCTGGGGCCAAACAAGATCCATCTAGTAATAACAGTGGTCTCTTTTGTAAGTCTTGCATTTACAGGTTTTTAACCCTGAGAGTTTTACTTTCCTCATGATCATTAAAGGATACTCTTCTTCCAACAACATCTTCTGAATGACAGCTCTGTTCTCTTCACTGATGGTGCTATCCAGAGTCCAAGGCTATTAAAAAATAAATATTTTTCTTTTTATTTACGCTTTTTGAAATTATCTTCTATGTCTTATTAAATGAAATACATGATACAAGGATTACAAATAATAAAAGCTACCATTTACTAAGCACAGACAGATCTCTGATTCCCACGATAACACTGTGAGATAGGTGTTACTACTTCACTGATGCATCCATGGCCCCGCTAATGTTTCAAGTGGAGGAGCAGAGAGTTGGTACACAAGACTGCTGGATTCCAAGGCTCAGGCTCCTTGCCCATGATAAAGTCATAATGGCTATCATGTATGAAAAGTTATCAGGTAGCAAGCATGTTGCTAGATATTTCACCTATTTCCAAAACTCACCACACTTTTTTCCCTTACGGCACAATCTCTCCTTAAAGGATCATACTCATTTTCAACTCTCAAAACTTAAAAAATTTCAGCTCAGGTCTCTTCTCCAGGCTCCATCTAGACTGTTATTATCCAACTGTCAACTCAAAATGTCCACGTGGATATCTAGCAGGCTTCTCAAAAATTAACATATTCAAAACTCACTAACATATACCTTCACCTGCTTCTCCCGTGTTCCCAACTTTGTACCCAGCATTATTAGTCACCTACTTATTCAACCTAGGAATCATCCTGGATTCCTCCCTTTTTTCTCAATCCCATATCCGATCTACCAAGCAGTTCTATGTCCAAAACATAATTAAAATCTGACACCTCTGCCACAACCTCAGGCCATACCACCATCTACTCTTGCTTAGGTTGCCACAAATGTTTCCCAACTGGTCTCTTTGGTGCTACTCTTGCTGCATACAAACATGACAGAGCTCTGGTCTGCCTCTCCAACCCTGCCACTCCCCGCTTTCCCACTACATTCTAGATACTGGCTTTCAAACAGAGCCTCTGTGCTGCTATTCCTTCTGCCTAGAATGTTTTTCCTCAACTCTTCATGTATCTACTCCTCTTTGTTACTTGTCAACTTAACTGTCACCTTCTCAGTTTCCTTCAAAGACACCTTCATCTAAAATAGGCTCACCCCCTGTTTCCGATTCTGTGTCTCCCTCTCTCTCTGCCCCTCCCCCGTTCATGCTCTGTCTCTCTCTGTCCGAAAAATAAATAAACGTTGAAAAAAAAAAAAAATTAAAACAGACTCACCCCATTACTCTCAGCCATCATCTTATGTTCTTCACAGTCTATAATTAATTAGCCTACTTATTTATCACCTGACTCCCTTTTAGAATACAAGCTTCTTGTGAGCAAGACTATGTCTCAATTATGTTTCCCCTGAACCTGTCCTAGTGTGTGACACACAGTAAGTACTCAATAAGTAATTGCTAAGTGAAAAAAATGAACCCTGCAACGATCCCCATCTTTTAGAAGAAACTGAGGTTCAAAAATCTGGTAAGTGGTAGGGCAAGGATATATACCTAAATCTAGCTGGCTCCAAAGTTGTTTCTCAACAGGCCATTTTTCAAAGTCAAAAGAAGTTAAGACTAAGTTTCTTTTCTCTTTTTTAATGTTTATTTTTTGAGAGAGAGAGAGAGAGAGAGAGAGAGTGCAAGTGGGGGAGGAGCAGAGAGAGGGAGACACAGAATCCAAAGCAGGCTCCTGGCTTTGAGCTGTCAGCACAGAGCCCGAGCGGGGCTTGAACCCCTCAGCCGTGAGATCATGACCTGAGCCAAAGTTGGACACTTAACCGACTGAGCCACCCAGGTGCCCCTCTTTTATTTTTAACTAAGAAAAATGTTTCAGTATATTACCTCTGCAACTGCTGAGAACCACCAAGCAAGAAAAGAGGTACCCGGGCAATAAGTAGTAGCTTAATGCACCTGATATTTTCATAAAATACTTACAATAAGACCATTCTCAGCTCTCCATGATGAGTCAAGATAGTGATCTTGTAAAACAGACGCTGTATTTTCATTGCTTCTGTAATAATTAAGAAAATGGGTAAAAAAAAAAAAAAGGGGATATTATGCCAGTTAATGAAAATAATTTACACAGCACAGTGACTGGCAGGGTATAGATGTTACGCAAATATTGTGTTCCCTTCTTCCCTTAACAAACAGACTTACCAGTGCAGAAATGCCTGCTCTATTTCTTTAACCTGTGATATATACAGTGGCGTTAAGCCACCCTATTTCAACCCCTAACCAGCTAGTCTGTTCACTTCTGTTTGCCAAGAGTAAACAACTTCAAGAGAAAACAAATACCCCGCAGCAGCAACCACAACATGCTCTATGGCTATGAACTAACACTTCAGAGTTCTTTTGATGTGCATGCATATGAATACAGGAATTCAACTTTACAATTAATTCTTTTAGTTATATCTAAAGCATAAAGGCCATCAACAGCAGCACCACCCTCAAAATGAAACAACAGTGGATCAAAGAACCAAAATAGAAAATACTCACAGTAAAGAGAACAGAAAACTTGATGTTTTAATAACAACTCATATAATAAAAAAAAAAAAATTAACTTGGGTTATCCGGGGGTTTTTCTACATCCACGGGGACTAAACTGTTAATTCTCACTCCTTTCACCAAACTATTAAAAACTCTCTGAAGTCACATTGTTCACTTCTTATGCAAAAAAGCCAAACAGTTAAATTTTAGAAGGCCCAATCTACGATATAATTAAATTTAATATTTGCTTTTTTATGTCTTGAAGTTATAGTTTCCTAGAAAATTACTGACTTTTCCCAGGCCTACTCTAGTGGTAAGAATTTTGTACCTTAGGCTGCAAAAACCTATCTACAGGTTTATACTTCTGAATCCTCAATTAGTTCTACAGTAGTTCTAATAAATTGTGGGACTAATGGATTATGTACAATGAACTAAAAGCAATTAATTTCTCTCTGCTGTTGATGGCAAAAAGGTTTCAACTCAGGTGTTAACTGTGATTTGGTAGCATTCCAAAGGATTCTGAGACTTGTATCAGCAGAAGGAAAACTTTGCGTAAGGAAGTCTGCCAAGGGTGCAGGAGGTGGGACTAGTATCACTTCAGGTTCAATGCAGGTATCTTTTTACAGTGTTCCTCCATAAGGATTAGCAACTTCCACACCTCTGGTGTATACATCTGGACACCTACCTGAATCTCCACAGGTAGGCACAAATTAACATGTTTAAATCTTAGTTGAGAAATTCCACCCAAATCTGCTACTCTTCCATTGTTTCCTATCTCAAAACATATTAATTCCCCTAGTTTCCCAAGCCAGAAATCTGAACCTGCCCTTATTTCCTCACAATGGACATTCAATTCATTGCCAACCCTGTGGCTTCCTCCCTTTTCAAATCCAGTCCTTCCACTATATCCATGCTGACCTCTAAGGTCCTGTAGTTTCAGACCCACTTTTCCTGGGTAAGTGCCTAAGATAAAGCTGACACGTCATCCACTTCCCCTTATCTTTTTCCAGGTATCCCCATCTGGCCCATATGTAAGTTTTACTGTCTCTCACCCAATAAGAATGTTAGTTCTAGGAGAGCAAGGAGTTACTTTGATAACTGCTATATATGTAGGCCTTGCCATATAAAAGGTGCTCAATCAACATTTGTTGAATGAATGAACAAGACAGGTGGAACATGGGTCACCCAGGTCTATAGAGTTACGGAATGAGAATTTTATCATAAAACAAATCAGGGACTGAAGGGAACAGCATGATCAGATTTGGATGTAAGAAAGACTGATCTAACTTCAGTAAGGAATAGAAGGGGGACAAAGAGACAAGTTGAGAGTGAGTGATTATATAAATATTAAGAGAGGTGACAGTAATTTAGACCTAGGGAACAAGCAGTATGAACAGGAAGAAGTGAATAAATTTGAGAGGATACTTACAATCAACAGACCTTTAGCAACCAACAGGACAGAAGGAGTGAAAGAAGAGAGGTAAGGAAAAGGGATAAAGTCTAGGTCTGTGCCTTGAATTACTGAGTGGATGGTGCCATTTATTGAACTAGGGAACTTGGAGAGGCAGATGGCAGGTGTGCTGGGAAAAGTTTGTAAGCTGAGATTGAGGTGCTTATGAAACATCCAAAAACAGATTCAGAGAAGTAGATAAATGGATCTAAAGCTCAGGAGAGATGTGAGTTGGTGATGGATTTGGGAAACATCAGCATGTTTTAAGGTGTAACTTGAAATAACTGTCATTTTTTTTATGGTAAAAAATGGTTGAACATTGGCAATATTTTACACGTTCCAATCTACCAGAGAGCAATTTTAAATCTTGAGAGATGGCATAACTAGGGGCTGCGTGGCTAGTGTTAGTTTTTGTTAGTTTTGTCTGATGACAAAACCCCATGGAACACTTTAAGGACAAGCAGAAGAAAAGGAAGATGAAAACGAAAAGGTAGAAGTAAAAGGGAAACCAAAGTTTCAATGCCACCTTCTAACTTTGGTAGCTAGAGTTTAGCAAGTACTTAGAAGTGTGTTTTCAATTAATCCTCAACGGTTCCACAGACGTTGTCATTAGCTTTAACTACATACCTCAAGGGGCACCATTCACACTACATTCCATACGCCTGGAGCTCCAACATCAGGGAACACCACTCAGCAGAATATAATGTTAATGATGCTCCTTGGAGTTGGGTAAGGCAATGGCTCTGACCATCAGGAACCAGTAACTTTTGTAGTCCTGCTTGCATGAATCTAAGATGATCATAGATGTCACTAGCAGACCCAAGGCTCAAGCACATTAGCAAGAGAAAGGAAAGAAAAAGGCAGAAAAATTAAACACGATCAGAAAAATAAAGAACCTATGGTAAAGGGGTAGAGCCAATGCTCTCAGACATTTTGAGTTTCCGAGGCCAACTCACTTCTCTCTGGATTGCAGATAAGTATCCCTTGCTCATCACATGGACTTATTGTGACAAGTAAATTAAGTCATCCATGCAAGAGCACTTGGTCAAGATTAACTTGATCTACACAAATACGAACAATGATTGTTATTAAAGGCTCCTTACTCATCTGTACAGTTTTGCCTAATAGTTTGGGAGAGAATGACTATATGAATTTAATTACTCCTCACATTTTTATACTGCTTTAGTGTTCAGTAGAATTTTAGACCCACTATCTTAATCCCTCACTGGCAAGGTTGGTACTGTTCTCCAAAATTTACAGAGGCCCTAATATTACGTTGGACCATATGAAATTGCCATTTTTTAAGTCAAGAAATGGTCTAAGACTAGCAAATCCACCTGGTTCACTCAACCTAACAGACTTCTAATGAGGCTGTTGGCATTTATAAGCAACATAACTGGCTGAGTTTAGAACCGAGGTCTTCCTATTCCTGACCTGATTCCCGACCCGTCTATGCCTCTTCCACTTCTAAAAGGTGACTGGGGAAGCACATTTTAAAAATAGTACGTATCAATTTCTTACTTGGAAAGCAAGCAGCCAAAAGGCTAGATCTCTCAAGCTGGAGATTGTTGCTTAAAACCACATTGGCCTGTTCTCCAAGAATCTGCAAGTATTAAATAGTGACCCCTCACTAGGTCCACATAGTACCTTCCACGGGGGTAAGGAGACAGTGAAGAATAAAACATTTACATAGCTTGTACTGTATGCTACAGCACATCCCATGATTACTTCATCTGATGTTCATAACAACCACATGAGGCACACACCATGACTGTCAGTTTACACATGAGCTGTCTGAAGCTCAGGCAAGTTAGATGTCTGGCCCAAGGTCACACTGCTAGCAACTGGCAAGTCCGGCCGATGCAGGAGAACCCAGAGCTGTCCTAAAGTCCTATCCCTTCAAGTCAAGCTGCCTTTCAGGAAGTTTTTCACAACTAACCCCAAGTGAAACCTATGGTCAGTAGGGATGAAACGACACGCCCAAGGTCACACGGCTTACAGCGACAGAATTAAGGATTCTAGAGCTCAGGTCCCACCCAGAGTTCGCCCTTGTTTTAGTTATTGTCCGGAGGGGGCAAGTGGGCGGATTCTGGCGAGATTCTGCGGTGGAGCTAAAGGCGGAAGGAATCTAATTGTTGCAGAGAGTGCAATGTGCTAGGCGAAGTCGGCGCCCTCGCAACATCCCGGTAAAAGGTTAAACAGCCGTCCGACACTGGCCTCAGGTCCCCGCCCGCGGAGCTCAGGTGTAGCTTACAGGCGGGATGGGCGCGGCGCCTCCCTGGCCACCAGGAGACCCTGGCCCAGCGGATGGTCTTCCGCTTCCCTGTTCCTTGCCGGACCCGCAGCCTTTCCAGGTTACTCTCCTCGCACCCGCGCTCCTCCCCATCCCAGCGACACTCAGTCTCCACGCCTCACCCTGGCTGTGCCGTGGATGGCACCACGTCCCCTTCAACATCCACATCCGCCTCTTCAGCCGCCATGATGGGACCTAAACCCATCCGTCCTCCCGAGAGATCCCGCGAGAGGTGGAAGGATTGGGGTGGGGTCTCAGGCGTCACGGGGCGGAGTTGAAGCCTCGTCCAGCCCCTTCCGTGCAGTGGAGGCGGGGCCTCCAGAGAAAAAAAGGACCACAGTAATGTGCACCTTGGTTGGTTGGACCCAGTGTGTAACGTCCTTTGGAAGCAGTTTAGGCTTTCTTTGAAGAGATTGTGCTCTCGGACAAATTCTTGGCTCCTCACTTGTCTCATTGGTAAAATGGGAATAATGGTAAGTATCTGGAGTGCTGAAAAGTTCAAACCAGACCTGCTTTGAACAATGAAAGGTGACAACAATGAAAGACCCTTACCTGCTGCTGGTTTTCTTTTTTTCCTTTCCTTTCCTTTTCTTTTTTCTTTAAGGAAAAGGATCATTCAGCGATTATATGAAGTACTAAACAGCTTCTATTTTAAAATTCAAAAAAATGTTTAAGAATGTAACTGATTTTATAGAGATCTTTACAATTAATTAAAAATTCACATTCATAACCATTGATCTTTACAATAACCCAGTAAGGACTGGTATCATCAGTCACATTTTACAGATGAAGGAACAGGCTCAGAAAAGTGAAATGACTGGGGCGCCTGGGTGGCTCAGTCGGTTAAGTGTCCGACTTCAGCTCAGGTCATGATCTCACGGTTCGTGAGTTCGAGCCCTGTGTTGGGCTCTGTGCTGACAGCTCAGAGCCTGGAGCCTGATTCGGATTCTGCGTCTCCCTCTCTCTCTCTCTGCCCCTCCCCCACTCAGGCTCTGTCTCTCTCTCTCTCTCTCTCTCTCAAAAATGAATAAACATTAAAAAATTTAAAAAAAAAGATTGAAATGACTATCAAAGGATATATAGCTAGTCAAAGACAGAGCTAGGACCAGAATCTGGGTCTTTTGACCCTTTACTGAGTGCTCACCCTCTACAAATCATGTTAGGAACTGTGAAAGATAAACACCATTTCTCTCAAATTTTGACTTCTCAAGAAATTAGATATTGGCCTTAAGTATTCATCTACCTTAGGGGCACCTGGGTGGCCCAGTGGGTTAAGTGCTGACTCTTGATTTTGGCTCAGGTCATGATCTCACTATGGTTGGTGGGTTCCAGCTCTGCATCAGGCTCCACGCTGAGCATGGGGCCTGCTTGGACTCTCTCTCTCTCTCCCTCTGCCCCTCCCCCTGCTCATGCTCTCTCTCTCTCTCTCTCAAAATAAATTAAAAAAATTTTTTTTAAAGTATTCATGTACCTTAGCATTTATCAACTCACATTACTATAACTGTTTATTCACTTGTCTGCCTCTAGCTCTGAACTATGAATTCTTTAAGGACAAGGGCTTTATCTGCTAGTCTGCATACTAGTCCTTATACCACCAACATTCAGCATGGTGTCTGACACGTCATAGATGCTCAATAAATATTGAAGTGATGAATGAATGAATGAATGAATGAATGAAACAATTTAAGTGTGCTCAAGACAGCCTTCTAACTGACCCAGGCAGCCTCTCCACTGTCATACCTCCTCATGTCACTTTTTGCTAAGTTTGTACAAAGAACAGAGGACAAAATAACAAAATTTAACTGCCATGTCTCTACAATTTCATAGTATGTTAAAAGAAAGTTTTTGAATTATCCTATGTTTAGATTTTTCTCATGAAAATGAACTTTTGTAATTATTCCAATCCCTGTAAATTTAGTTATTTGTAATAGCTAACACAAACATGAGAAGAACATTTTAGTTCATTATGATGCTCTGCTTTCCATAAACTGAAATCGAATGAATGTCAGAATAACTTTAGAGTAGAAAGGGAAGAGGATGACTTACAAACAGAGAGGATGGGTCATGGCTAGTATGATCACCTCCCATATCCCAGATATTGTGTAGGATAGAATCGCTTTTGGGCTTCCCAGGAAATCTGCAAAGTAAATATTATCACCCCTTATCCCCCGCCCCCACCTCATTTTAGAATCAAGGAAACCAAAATTCATAGAGTTACAGTTATACAGCTGAGTACTCGAGGTGAGATTTCAATCCAAGTCTTTATCCCTCTATACCTCACTCTATTATATTCTTTTTTTTTTTAATTTTTTTTTTCAACATTTATTTATTTTTGGGACAGAGAGAGACAGAGCATGAACGGGGGAGGGGCAGAGAGAGAGGGAGACACAGAATCTGAAGCAGGCTCCAGGCTCCGAGCCATCAGCCCAGAGCCTGACGCGGGGCTCGAACTCACAGACCGCGAGATCGTGACCTGGCTGAAGTCGGACGCTTAACCGACTGCGCCACCCAGGCGCCCCTCACTCTATTATATTCTAATTCACAACAAAAAGAATAGGGTCTTTTGGAATACTATGTGAACTGGTATTTTCTCATTTGGTTTAAGAATAAATTATAACCAGATACTTTTTCTGATCTCTTTGAGGTGCTTAAGTCTAGAAGTGAGTAGAAAGTATATTTTGAAGGTTGGAAACTTATCTTGGGTTAACAAATTCTTTTTCTGTCCCCCATTAATACACTCTATTTCCTTCATTGGTCCTAAAACAGAATTAGTAAGAGGTGCCATATCTGCAAATCCTCACAAGTGTTGTTAGAGGAACATTCAGTCAATAAAGTGTCTGTCTCACATTTTAACTACATTGTGATTGAATCCATTGGAGAGGCAGTTTATGGCTTCGTTTCTTCCCATTTCTGGTGAAAAAAGATCACTGCATTTTTATTGAAGAAGCAAAGTATAATTGCAATATTAATCCGTAAAAAGCTAGCATGTTCGCATTCATGCTAATTAGCTCAGATTTGTAAAGTGCTTTAAAAGCAGTAACACAACTGCTCACTAATGTTATTGTTATGTTATGATCCGAGCTGTCAGCTAAATGACTGCCAGGGATTCAAAAGAGTTCCCATTTGAAAAATAAAATGGCCAGTGATCAGATAGGAAAACCACTTTATCTATACAGAGGTGAGATAATAGATGAATGCAGACATAGACTTACTTATGGGCTACACTTGGCAGGCAGTGGATATGGCTTGAATTGTTCCAGGAAAACAAGCTGCATTTTATTTTATTTTCCCTCCCCAGTTCCCTGAAATCACATAAGGTAGCTACTGAAAAAGCTGTTCTCAATATGTTGTAAGGAACGTCTGCCAATGCACTTCTTACATTTTAATTACAGTAATGTTACATCCATCTGACATTATTTGGAAGGGAAAGAAAAGATGCCAATATTAATGAACTCCTACTGTGTGCCAGCCATTTTACATACATTATTTCCTTATAGCTCTTGGAAGTAGGGAATTATTATTTCCACTTACAGATGTAGTAACTGAGATTCAGAATAGTTGAGCAATTTACCCAAGGAACGGTAGCTTATCGTTTTTTCCTGACATCGTGCTATCTTAGGTTAGGTTCTAATAGCATCATTTAGAATTGCATTTTTTCTTCTCAGCAACCCCCACTGAAAGGATTATGCCTCTTTCTTAACAGCTCCGGGAGGATGGGTATAGCTGGCCAGGCTTGGGTCACGTGCCATCCAAGAAGCCAGGTGGACTCAATTCCACCAGCATCACGTGGAATAAGGAGGCGCGGTGGCTCCCCGAGCAAAATAAGGGTACTGTTTCCAGAGAGAGGAAGAATGGAGGCTGGGTAAGTAAAACAACAGATGCCCACTATACTGTGCTGTGTTTCAAGTCCCCTCTGTTTCCTCAGGCCCTTAGTACAATCTGTTAACAGCTACAGGCTCATGTCAGCCCTACATCGGGCAAATTACTCAACCTCTCTAGACTGTTGCTTCTTCATTTATAAAACGACCTATGAAATAATCTCCTCCAGAGGTAAAATTCTTTCATCACATTCTTATTCATTTCATGGACATTTAGGAACATTGTTGTGGACAAAACGGGGATGGAATTGTGGAAGTTTGCATGAGGTTGTGTACGGTTGGCTGCTTAGTTAAGGACGGGCCATAAACAAAATATTCCCTCTGCCTGGAATCGGCAACCCTTCCCCCACTCCCAGCCCATCCACATTCTGGGGCGCTCTGCCGCTCTCTCACCCCCTCTCTCTCTTTCCCTCTGAAAGAGCTGGTTCTGACTCAGCTTTAGTCAACTGTTGCCATTTTGGAACTCTGGCTCAGAGTTACCAGATCTTCTGATTTTTCTTTTAAGACAGGCCAGAAATCAAGATTAATTTGTGAAAAACAATTCAAATTAACAACAAAAAAAAACCACTATTGAACCAAACAAACACTTATGTGGGCTGCATCTGACCTGCAGCTTGTGACTGTTGCCCTAAATCTTTCTTTTGCACTACATGTAACACTTCAGTGTTCTTATTTTTCATAGGTCTGAATATGGCACTAGACTAAAGTCTTCTTAAGGGCAGGGAACATGTTTCTTTTTTTCTTTTTCTTTTTTTTTTTTAAATTTTTTTAACGTTTTATTTATTTTTGAGACAGAGAGAGACAGAGATGAACGGGGGAGGGGCAGAGAGAGAGGGAGACACAGAATCAGAAGCAGGCTCCAGGCTCTGAGCCATCAGCCCGGAGCCCGACGCGGGGCTCGAACTCAGGGACCACGAGTTCGTGACCTGAGCCGAAGTCTGATGCCCAACCGACTGAGCCACCCAGGCGCCCCTCTTTTTTTCTTTTTTAAAGAGAGAGCGTGTGCACATGCAAGTGGGAGAAGGGCAGAGAGAGAAAGAGAGAGAGAATCCTGAGCAGGCTCTGAGCTCAGCAGGGAGCCTGATGCAGGGCTCAATCCCATGACCCTGGAATCATGACCTGAGCTGAAATCATGAATCAGATGCTCAACCAGCTGAGCCACCCAGGTGCCCCATGTTTCTGTTCCTCTTTGCATGCCTCGCATGTAGCACAATGCCTGACACATAATAATCACTTAACGATTTTTTGTTGAATGAGTAAACCAACTACAAAGAATAAAGTCAGAGATTTTTCTTTTAGTTGAATACAGAAAACTTACTTTATAAAC